CCTGGCATGATTTTCAAGCCTCAGGGTCAGGAACTCACACCACCCAGTCCGCCACGTGAGAATCCAGCACCTTAACAGCCACCACGCCACTTGCTGGCCCAACACATGCGATTTTTACAATAATTTGTAATTTAAGGTTCAACACCAAAGAGTTATATAATTTGGTGAAACACAGTACTTTAAAAAATCTGCATTTGTGGCTGTGGCGTTCTCCATCGGAGACACCCGGTCCTCCTGACCTCCGCTTTTCTCTGTGGATCCTTTTTCAATCCACAGCCCTTTCCCCCCGGGCACCCAATCTCCTGGGCCAGGCTGCGGCACATGGCCCTGGACGCAAGCAGAGAAGATAATGCGAGTGGACACTCCTCCCATGGGTGGCCAGCAATGAGAAATAAAAGGAAAATATTGAGAGCAAAATAAGGAGCGAATGTACATCGGGCATAAAACAAGAGACCTCCCAGGCCAAAAAAAGAAAGAAAGAAAAGAAAATCATGCGTTAGTGCAAGATCCATTCCATGTGCAAGACAGACAGATGGATTTCAGTGTAATAGAACATGAAATAGTCAATGAACTGTTTCAGGTCTCACCTCGCAAAAGGTGGAAATCAGCCGTTAAGAAGCTCATGTACAGGGCCAATAGGTGGCCAAGTGATCGAGGCATGGATTCCCACAGGCTGACAGGGGTTAGAGCCCCAGAACTGGTGGCTTGCTTTCTCACTTTCCCTCTCTCTGTCTCTGTCTGGTGCCCTGTAGCAAATAAAACAATAATAATAATAATAAATATTAAATAAACAGCTTTTAAGAGATCTTTTAAAACAAGGTAACATAGGGGGTTGGCCGGTACCTTCCCCGCAGAAAGGCGGGCGGCGCCAAGGACCAAACTGGCGTCTGCAGCGCGGCCGGGGCGGGGCGTTTGGGCGGCGCCAGAGAGGCCTTCGGCGGTTGGCTCTTCGGTTGTTGGTCGCGGGCGGGCGGTCTGTGGTCGGGGCGCGCAGCAATGGTGACCTTTGTGAGCGAGCTGGAGGCGGCCAAGAAGAACCTGAGCGAGGCCCTCGGGGACAACGTGAAACAATACTGGGCTAACCTGAAGTTATGGTTTAAGCAGAAGATCAGCAAAGAAGAGTTTGACCTTGAAGCGCACAGACTTCTTAGGCAGGACAATGTCCATTCTCACAAGGACTTCCTCCTGGCCATTCTGACGCGCTGTCAGATTTTGGTTTCTACACCAGAGGGTGCTGGATCTTTGCCCTGGACAGGGGGTTCTGCAGCCAAACCTGGAAAACCCAAGGGAAAGAAGAAGATCTCTTCCGTCCGTCAGAAATTCGATGTAGGTTGCTCACCAGTGGATCTTGATAATGACTGATTTAAGTACTGCTCGGATGGAACTAGCTTTCAGCTTGAACATTAAAATACGGCCAGTAAAGTTCAAGGGTGAGGATATGATTTTGGGAGAAGAGGGTTACAAGGGTCGTGAGACCCAGATGTCAGAATTTTATAATTCCTGTTTGTTATTGCTTAAATATTATTGTTGCCATTAGTATCTAATGATTTTTCAGTGATGCAAAGCTATGCCTGTGTTTTTTCTCCCCTTACACATTTCTCTTGAATGAGTAATATATCGAAGACTTCTGTTCCCAGATCCAGGCAGCCTGGTGGCCTCTGCAGGGTTCTAGGGAAACCTGGCTAGGCCCCAGGGACCCAGAGAGAGATTCCAAGGTGTTTGCTTTTAAAATTTGTAAATGTTCTGGAATTATTTGCTTTTTAAAGTATGTGACTAGGGAAAACATTTCCCTGAAGTGTCCCTTTCCTAGGCTCGACTAGGTGTTGGTAGCTTATACTGACGTCGGTTGTGTCAAGAAGGAAGGTCTATCGGTTACGCGATGGCCATTTTAAATATGCCTTTGGCAGTAACGTGACGCCACAGCCATACCTGAAGAACAGCGTAGCAGCTTACAACACCCTAATAGAAAGCCCTCCAGCTTTTTCCGCACCCTGTGCTGGTCAGAACCCAGCTTCCCACCCACCCCCTGATGACGCCGAGCAGCAAGCCGCACACCTGCTGGCCTGCTCTGGGGACACACTGCCTGCGTCGTTGCCTCCAGTGAATATGTATGACCATTTTGAAGCTCTGCAGGTCCACAGGGAGGTCATCCCCACACACACCGTGTGTGCCCTGAACATCGAAAGGGTCATCACCAAACTCTGGCATCCAAACCACGAGGAGCTGCAGCAGGACAAGGTGCACCATCGGCGCCTGGTGGCCAAGGAGGGGCTGCTGCTCTGCTAGATGGGGCTGCGGGTGGGCCTCCCCACCCCCCTGGTGACTAAAGTGGAACATCTGGGGTCCACATTTCAAGGCTGAAGTGTCTGATGTATATATAACCTTTCCTATGGAAATGTGATGTTGAGGACACTCTGCATTGCTACTGGGAAGCCCTTATGTAAGTCTGGCTTCAGTAACGACCCACCTCTGTAGGTTTTGCATTCCCAGTTACGGGAGCAAGGATTGATGAAGTTCTGTGTCTGAGTGGAGATGGAGATGTTCGGGGATCTGAGGCTGAGTGTCCCCAGGTCCGGGTGTCAGACAGACAACAGCCCAGAGCAAGACGCTGTTATAACCCAGTCCGTGTGTCCACAGTCTGAGACTGAGTGTCCCCAGGTCCGGGTGTCAGACAGACAACAGCCTAGAACAAGACGGTTATAACCCAGTCCGTGTGTCCGCAGTCTGAGACCAAGTGTCCCACGGTCTGCATGTCACACAGATGACAGCCCAGAGCAAGATGCAGTTATAACCTAGTCCCTCTGTCCGCAGGACACCCAAGTGCTCAGTGAGATCATGTTTTATTTCTGGCAGTTGAACATTTATGCCTTTCTCCTGAAAAACTGTGCTCTTGCATTTTGGTTGAAATAACCTTCACAGTATTAAAAATCAGACACCTCTCATAGTGACCAGTTCATTCTTTAATGGCCATAGGTAGCCCCGCCCCAATTCATCATTACAGCTCCCCAGAAAATGGGGAGCTATGCGACGGATTCAGGATTTCCAATAGAGCCCCTAAAAAATATACATACTATGAGACAGAATAAGTCTTCTTTTTTTTTTTTTAACATTTAAAACCCCAATCAGAACAAACAACTCTTAGAATGCAATTAATTAACTTTATAAAATGTCTTCCCGTAACCCAAGATTTTTTTTTTTAGTTAATGTGCTCAAAGATTTTGATTGTCAGGTTCATCTATTAATTACTCCTGTAGAATATATTTCAAGAAATCTGTGTAAGCAAATTGGATGTATGTTTGGCATTTCACCTATTCCTGTGACATAGCTGTTCCATCCAAGTGACAAAGTGAAAGTAACTTAGACAGTGTTACAACCAACTTTATTTTTTATTTTGAAGAGCTATGTTGATTTCTACTCAAAAGATAAGTGTTGATGGAGAATTTAAAATG